CTTTTTCACCTGAAATTTTTAATTGCCTTATACCATAGGGATTTTTAAATTTGATTAGCCAACATGTCGAATATCTGCACTCACTTTTTAAGTTAATTTTTTCATGAAATATTTTGCCTTGATCCATTAACATTGGACCCATCAATGGCATGCCCTCGCTGTGACATTGTCTGATCAATTCAATCATCACTTTGTCATGATTGTCTGTTTTAGCATAATGAATAATTTTTCTGTTTTTCATTGCGAGTGGGGTGTCAGATTTCACAAAAAATTCAAAAAGTTCCTTTTTTCTATTTTCTTATATCAGATACAGTTGCCTTTCCAATGTCATATTCCTTGAAAAATTTTGACATGGATATACCTTTATCCATTTTTTGCAGCTATTCCACTTTTTGTTTAATGTACATCAAAACATGCTTTCTCTTTGTAGATCCTGTTGCAGCTCCAGAATTAGAAACTTTTTCCATCATAATCGAAAGTTCAAGCATTAACTTTTATAAAACTGCTGTAATAATAACAGTCTGCAAAAAGTAATAAGCTGGATCCAAATCAGAATGTTAAGGAAAGGCACAGTCTGCTATATTAACTGAAATTTCTTGGAATCAGTAGCATGTAATTTTAGTCTAGCTTAATAATGTCCACTATACATTATTTATTGGCTATGTATCAAGAGATTGGCGATAAAAGGCAAGTTCTTCCGCTAAATTTTGTTTTCCTTCTATCATGTACTGAGACAATTAAGCCTGAATTGTATTAGTTATTTGCTATACTTATGTCTATGTCTTACACTTGCTTAAGGCTTACCAAGTCCTGAATAAATAAATCCCCACATATGCTTAAGGTTTATCGAGGGCCGATGCTGGATGCTGTCTCTGCAGGTCCTGAATTCTGCTACCAAGCACCTTCCTAAGTTCTAAATTTTTACCACCCCTAAATTTTATTGCTCAGTGCATCTCTAAATTCCAAAAAAATTATCGTCATTTCTAATATGAGCTCTGACGCTGGTTCTGGGTTTATGTGAATAACAAATTCGTTATTCTTAATTCAAATAAAACTAAATGTAATCTTTTGGCCTATGAGTATCATTAACAAAATCTATTGTTACCATATTGAAAGAAACTTTTGTTAAATTTTTCTTCATTAGCGTTTATTAGCACGTTCAACTTAAATCTGTAATCATCGTGAATGTCAACATAAAATTTTACTTACTCTTTATTTTTCAATTACTAGTATAAAAACATTGTTTAGGCATCGCTGCATGAGTAATTAAGTGATTATGTGTTGATAAACATGTGGTGATGAAAGCAAAATGTAATACATAATGATTTGCCAGGTTGGCTTCAGTGATATTAAAAGCTGTAAAATCAACGATGTTTCTATGTAAGTTTCAGTTTGAGATGTATGTGAAGCAGATACACAGCTACAGAGGCAAATTATTGATCCCACAAATTTATGCTAAAATGTTTGTTTCTTCTATATGAGGTAGAGGTATTTTATTTAATGTCAAAGTGAAATTAAGAATCAGAGACTCGCCACATATTTTATTATTGGGGTATGGGAATCAAATGTGCATGTGTAAAGCACACACACACCACACACACAAAAAAAAAAAAAAAAAAAAAAAAATGTTTGTTAGCGGATTTGAGGTTTGGATTTTAGATCATTCCGGATATTGGATGTCCGGACCTAGCACTTTATACTGTATATGTTATGCATACATGAGAGCTTTTATATGTTGCAAAGGATAAAAATTGGTACTTTTCCATTTTAAGATTGATTTGCATCAAAAGAAAGGGAAATCTATTAGAAAAATGGCCTATTTAGTTAATTTAAGTAATTTTGAAGTTTTGATATCATTAAGCATTATGAGAAACAGAATTGTATTCGAAAAGAAAAGAAGACCTGGAAGACCATCTAAAAGTTAGTTATCTGATGGAATGAAATGCTTTATTCTAAGGAATCTAAAATGATTCGAAGAGAATATGTGTAAATCTTGCTGCCATTTTTCAGTGCTTTATTGACATATTTTGTCTTATTTCTTTCTCAACACCTTTACCTCAGTAGTTAATGTTTTCTCAAACTTTTCCCAATTTAACAAAATTCCTGTTTGTGATCCTCCGGTCTAAATTTTTTTGGTTTTATTCTTGAAACTCTTTTTCATAAAAAGAAAAAACATGAAAAAGTTAACCATATTTATTACTTTGTAACTGACTAAGTAAAATATGCAAAATTAAAATGAAAAATAACAGATTAATAAGCATTCTGTTAACTGACCAGTAAGACTATATATATAGCCTAATATATTTTTTATGGCTTCTGTGAGAAAATATTTATATGTGCATCTTGAAATATGTCCAAGAAATTAATGCAATATAGAGTGTCTCGTGAAAATAATTGGCCACTATAATTTTTTATTTTTTTTAAGTAATGGGAGAAAAACTTTATAACTTTAAATAAAATAATAAAGAATATTTTTCCTTTAAATACATATTTTCTTAGCAATCTTTTTGTACTAAATAAGTTAAAAAAATTAAATAGTAAATTTAAAAAATAATGTTTTATGCTGAAATGGAAAGGAAGATACCGCAAAATTAATCGGACATTTTCATATTTTTCTAATTAAAATCATCTGCAATAAATAAAAAATGAAATTTTATGGAATGAGTTTGGATAAAAGTGCTAAGCAAAAAAAAAAAAAAAAAAAAAAAAAAAAAAAAAAAAAAAAAAAAAAAAATTGTTTGCTTTTATAATTCAAATTTTCTTTTTAGAAAATATTCGTTATTTTAATGTTAAAAGGAAACATTGTTAGAAACCTGCAGAGTTGTCTGCAGATTGATTTGCATCAAAAGAAAGGGAAATCTATTAGAAAAATGGCCTATTTAGTTAATTTAAGTAATTTTGAAGTTTTGATATTATTAAGCATTATGAGAAACAGAATTGTATTCGAAAAGAAAAGAAGACCTGGAAGACCATCTAAAAGTTAGTTATCTGATGGAATGAAATGCTTTATTCTAAGGAATCTAAAAAGATTCGAAGAGAATATGTGTAAATCCAAAAATTAAGAACAGTAATGCGATCTGCAGGATATCATGGTCAAATAGCAAGAAGAAAATTTTATGTTGGTAAAAAAATCTAAAACCTTTTTCTTGCAATTTCCCAAAATTGATAAAACAAAAGACACCCGACCACTGGAAAAAGTGTTGTTGCTGATGTCTTCGGCTCAGATGGACGAGTGCTGGTGTAAAGAAAACCCAGAGAAGAATTTTAGTACCAAGTGTTAAACATGGAGAAAAGGAGTTAAGATATGGGAATTTATGGTACATTCTGGTATTGGTAATATAGAGTTTATAAATGGCATTGGGGATCAGTATAAGTACCTTGACATCTTGAAGCAAAATTTGGCATCACCAGCACAAAATATATACAAAATAGTTTTAAATTCTTCCATGATATGATCTAAAGCATGCTGCACACACTGTTAGAATCTGGCTATTATATAAGTGTCCAAAAGTAATTAAGACACCATCCCAATCGCCAGATCTTTATCTTGTTGAGCGTATTTGGCAAGAACTGGAATTAAAAATTCAAAACAGAGCATATCTTTGCGGCAGCAACTGAAAGCAGTGATTCAAGAGGGGTGATATAAAATAAGTCAAAAAATAATAATAATAAAAAAACTTGTGGAGTCAATGCCCAAAATATTTAATAAAGTGATCAAGCATAAAGGTAACCCCACAAGATATTAAGAAGCAAAAACAAGGTAACTTTTTGTATTTTGGGCTGTTACTAAAAGTGTCTGATTATTTTTGTGAAAATATTTTTCCTCATTAAACAAACAATATTTATTTTTAATTTAATTTTCATATTTTCAAAAATGTATTTAATATAAAAAATGTTGAATTTATATATAATCAAAATAAAAGCCTTTCTTTTTGTTGTAATTTATTTTAGTTTTTATGTTCATTAAAGAATACAAAGTGTCTGATCATTTTTGTGAGCCACAGTATTAACAATACATAAATTCAGGTATAAATTTTCAGGGTATTTTGGCATTAAAATAATGAAAATGCCTCTTATGGTGGTTTTGCTAAATTAGGCTTCCTTAGCAAAGCTCCTTGCTGGTTAGAGGATTAAAAAAAGAAACTTATAGAACTAAATAACAGTCGTGAAATTAAAAATGGCATCTAGTATAGCAGAGAACATTTCTCTTTTGCTGTGTGCTATGATGTGTATTTATTGTCATTTATTGTCATTTTAGAGTCATTTTGCATTGCTACAAAAATCTTCAACAGATTGGATATGACATTTAGAGCCTAATTAAATAAGAAGGATTTACTATAAAATATTCCCGATCCCAAATAGTGAAATTCATAGCAGGGGAGAAAAGAGAGATAGAAAAATGGCATTGTATGATTGATAACTATAGAAACAATTATCACCAGGAGAGAAGCCAACAAAAACTGCCATTGCTCGGTGCTGGGACAGTATGCCAAAATAAAATTGCAGCATGTGGAATGGCTTTGATTGAAAAGAACAGGAAACTCATGTTCATATTTGTGAGCCTTTCACAAAGCTGATAGAATTTTACATGATATCTGTGTCGGTATAAACTGCTTTTTCCATCTAATTTTATATTGCATATACCTCTTTCATATTTATTTGAAAGGTCATAGAATGACTGCATGTGTGTGACTTATAAATATTGTCAAATGGAATTTAGTATTTAAATCTTGTAGCTGCAGGGTTTCAGCAACTTTGATTGGGATTTATTAACCTGTGCAGAGGTTTTTATTATTTTTCTTTTGCAGAATTTTTTAAACTCACTTCAATGAATTGAAGATATTTTTGTCACTAAGAGACATTTTTAATTTGCATTTATGTTAACATTTTTTTTAATTTAATGTATTTATTGGAGAAATTAAACATTTTCTTCTTTTGCTTATTATATGAATAGCTGTTTCTTTCTTTCTTTTTTTTAAATATTTCCTTTTTCATTATAGGATAAATGTAAATTGGTACCTGCATTTTTGAAAACTAAAGGGTTAGTTAAACAGCATATAGACTCTTTTGATCATTTCATCAATGTAGGAGTAAGTATGAATATTTACTGTTAATAATAAAATAATAATAATAAAAGTTATATATTGAAATATTTATTGCTTGCAGGGAATGTTTGATGGAACTTTACATTTGGAATCTTAGCAGCTGAAATTTGTTCTGCATGTTAACCACTTGCGCTATGATTAAACTTCACGGTTGCAGTGCAGTGCACTACAATATAATAAGCACTAAAGTGTCTCATTTACGCTGCTCCGCATCTGCGAGTGCAATCCAGAGCTGTAACTCGAAAAATAAACAATCTCGTTGTTAGGCAACGTCTGTTTGTTGTGCACACGAACAATCTCGTTGTGCACCACATTATTTTCATTTTTGCGATAAATGCCTATCGACGTGGTGTTCACGTCGCTTGCGGTTTGAGACAAAAGCATCTCGATGTGCGTGGCATGTCTTTTTAGCGCAAGTGGTTAAACTGTGTCCATTTGCTTAAGTGAAAAAACCAATGAAAACTTACTTTAATAATATCAGTAATTCGAAAATTGTTTGCTAAATCAAATGCCATGTTCTGTGTCTTTCAATATTTTTAGCAAGAAACTTCTTTTCTCTTGGAATTCTCTTAAACTCAGGTACTATATTAAATTAATAGTGAAATATGAGTACTTTTCTGTTGAAGCTATATCACTTGGCTCTTTTTATTTTAGCATACTTCTGTACTGCTAATTTTGTTTGATTTTTTTTCTGGCTATAGTTGTCTTTATGACTATTACTCTAGTAAACATGTTAGTAATGGTGTTGTATGTGATTTATTGCTTTTAGTTAATTACCATGCTCCCTTGCATATTTTCCCTACTAACCTTTTAGCATTAGGATCTAAAAATTAAAAAAAAATATTCATGTAATTTTCTCCCTAACTGCGTTCAGGGGATAAACTTCCCTAAATATTAAAATGGATTCATCCATGTAATGACGCAGTCATCTAGATATAATTCAGAAACATGGCTGTGGTAAAAATACTTGAAATGCTCCCTGTAAAAGACCAAGGAATTTTCAGCAATTTTTTTATATTAATTTTATTATGTTAATTATATTGAATTTTAATGAAAGTTTCCCCGCTACCGCATATATCGTCTGAACAAACAGTTCACATTGTCGTGTTTCATAATATTTTGTCAAAGTGTAGAGTCCAGTATATAAACTTCTTTATGAAAACTGGGGTAGCAGGAAACTACAGAAGAGAAGGGCTAAAGTACCTTTTATTAAATCTTTGAAAATTTACAATGCGTCAACTCAACGCTAACAAACTTCGCCTCTGTTTGGATGGTAACTGAATCAAGTAACGAAAATAAAAATTTGAAGATATTAACAAATGATAGAACTAGACTTCAGGGCTGAGCGAGATCCCGTAACTTAAACCCCCTTCGAAGCCAGTGGCAGCAAATAAATGCAATTAAGCCACTTGAACCATCAATAAGCAAACGTACCTATGGCAGAGGTGGTGGCTAGATCCTAACTCTCTCCTTTCTCTTACTGAAACTTGGCTCTTAAATACTTCCTTCAAAGTAGAAATTTGCATTCCTTCACGCATGCTACAACATTTAACTATTCTGGCACTGACAGTTAGGGAAATGAAAGCTTGTAAAAAAGTTTCAACTTTAACTTGTTAGTTAAAATAAATATAAATCCCTACAGTTGCCGATGCCATAATTTAGCAGACTTGGCTAAAGATCCTTAACCACTTGCACTAAAAAGATGTGCCACGAATGTTGAGATGCTTTTGTCACAAACTGCGCTCAAATTTCTACTTTGAATATTACTACTATTTCTACTTTTATATTAAACCACATGCAAATTACTACTATTTCTACTTTTATATTTATTTTAACTAACAAGTTTTAACTAACAAGTTAAAATAAATATAAATCCCTACAAAACGATTTTTGGGATTTGAAAGAAAGAGACTTGCTTTAGAACACTGTGTTGTGAAATTTGTAAAAAAAATATTATCATTAAGTATGTCTGAAATGGAAATATCACATTACCAGATTAGAACCATCATTTACTTCCAATTCTGTTGCAAAAGATCAGCTACAGAATGTCACCAAATCATGTGTATAGCTTTAGGTGGTAATGTTGTATCATATGACACTGTGAAGGTTTAGTACTGAAAGTTCAAAAACAAGGGTTATGACATTTGAGAAATAGCATTCTGGCTGGCCTACTGATGTTGATGATGCCCACCTGTGAGAACTTGTGGAAGAAGATAAGTATGCAACCACTTGAGAGCTTGCTAAGGAGTTAGTGGCCTGTCCAATAGTCGCTTCACAAAAATGTGCATCACACAAATTTAATGTACAAGCTCAATCGCTAAGTGCCGCGTGAGTTGACTCATGCAGATAAAGGCAGACATGTTTGGGCTTGCACTAATCTGCTTGAATATCAAAGCAAGGACAAAATTCTGGACCGGATCTTCACATGTGATGAAAAGTGGATTTACTTCAGTAACATAGGCCGAAAGGGGGGGGTCTTCGCATGATGAGCATGTTGGCAGTGTCGCAAAACGCAATTTAACTTAAAAGGTCATGCTTTGTATCTGGCGGGATTGCTGTGGTATTATCCACAATGAATATTTAGAAAAAGTTAAAATCCTTGACAGTAAGGTGTAGGGTGAGTTTTTGTACAGCTAGTTCATGTCGATGCTGCTGTCAAAGAAAAATATCGAAGTGAGTTTCAGCATAAAAAGGTAATGCTTTATCAAGATAATGCAAGACCACATGTGTCTGCATTCAGCGAATGGACTCTGTACAGATTTGAATGGGATCTTTTGACACATCTGCCATAAGACACCAACGTCACTTCTTTGGTTTGCTACCTTTTTTTGCTCATATGGCTACATCTTGCTGGGGCTATCTTTCATTCTGCACAGGATGTCCGAAATGAGGTTGATCTGTCTGTGGACTCACGGCCATCAAGTTTCTGAGCCGATGGCTTTGAAAAACTATCAAAACATTGGCAAAAAATTACTACCCGTACTAAAGGTACTGCTTGTGGATATGTCTTTTTTGTTCTGGCTTTATTAAGAATGTTTTTGGTGGAAAACTTTCTTTACAACCAGATATTTTATTATATTGTTTTTGTTTCAATTTTATTGAATTGTTTGTGTTTCAATTTTGGTATTATGTGTACTTCTGATTAGACTGTCAATTTTTTACCTCAATTTAATTTGTAATTTAATTAATATCTCTTGATTATTGATTATTTAATTAAATTTCAGCATGCTGCATGACTTTAATAATTTATTAATTTAATTTGAAATTTCTAAATTTATATATTAGAATGTTGATCCATAATGAAGAGCAACTTGGCAACTGATATTTGATTGAGCTTGGCAGCTGAGGCAGATTAAATATTTGTCTTTATTTTTTAAACATGTTGTTGCCGCAAACAACTTGGAACATTACTCCTGCCTCTTTTTAAAACATTTATATTGTGTTTAGGATGAAGTCTTAATTCAGAATGAGTTTTGGTCCTCAGTGCATTTGATTGTATAATTAATACTGCTGTAAAATTATTATTGGCTATTTAGTATCTGCTAGAGCACCGTTTAAGCAGTGATGAACATTAATGCATTGGTTAGTTCGAGTGGATATGCCCAATAGATGAAACTGTGTGTACTTAAAGAAAGCTGTAGGGTTTTTTCAGTTTATGTAAAATGAGAAAGTTAGAAATGTAATATTAATAATAAAAACTATAATTTCAGTAATGTTGTAATGCTGTTAAAATGCAACTTATAATTAAAATTTCCTATAAAATTAAAAAATTTATTATGATTACTCAAAATGACTTATGAGTGAGTAAAATTTTTATAATTGTGATATTGTGTGTAAAATTTTTAAATGCTTTCCCTGAAGAAATGTGATTATATGGACTCTAAAATACACTTTTAGACTAAAAATTTTCATAGGATTCTAAAAGATTATAAAAGTTTATATTTTTCAGTTACTTAAAGAATTATTTTGGACAAAATTTTATGTTTGTGTTTTTCAAGTTCTTTCACTTCATGTTAACATGTTCACTTTCACTTCTTATGTCATAGAAAAGCTTTTCTGTTGCCAAGCTTCTTTCTCTTTGAAAGGGAGGAGAATGTACAATAAAATATATATATAAATCAAAATTATTATTTAAATTAGCAATAGCTACTTAATTCATCATTTTTAATTTGGATATTTCCCATCTGTATTCCCAAAATAGTCATAACTGTTTCTGGACTGCATCATTTCTAGATCAGTTCATATCATATGACTTGCTTAACATTGATGATATAGCTAATTTGGAGCTTCAGCTTAAAATTTCGAGAAATTAAACCTTTCTCTTGGTTAATTTCCATATTGGATAACTGCACATTTTGCTCACTGCTATCACAACAGTATGAAAAATAAAAGGTTTTAAAACAGGCATGGATAGAGTGTCAAATGAATTGAATTGAAGGTGAATATGCAATCTACATTGGCTGTCAAGTTTGATGCTCATTGTGGATTCAACATTCTGCATTCTATCTTATTAATGCTTTTGCATCATTACATCTTTATACTATAAACTATGACATCTATATATATATTATAGTATATAAATGTAATAGCTTATATTTAACAAATGTAACTGTTTATATCTAACAAAATTGGACAATGTACCTTTAAATTTCTAATTTTCAGCTGTACATCCCCTCTTCAAGAATACACTTTTATCTGCACCCTTTTACGTGAATCTTTCTCTTCAGAGATGCACATGGCTGTGAGCTTTTAGCTAATCATCATTTAGAATTTAAACAAAGCATTTTGGAGATTATAAATACTGTGAGGTACTTACTATGTAACTCTTTTGCTGCTTGCTCTACCTACCCACGTCTTTCTGTTTATAGGCATTCTTCGTTTTTAAAGATGTATCTTGCTGTTGTAAAGTGTAAAAAGTAGCGTTAGCAAGGTTGTGAGTTGCAGATTGCCCCATTATGCTTTGCCATGTAATAAGATATGTTGATAAGAATCATCAAGTAATAAAGATATTCATGATTAACTTGTGATTTATGGTTCCTCTGGGACTTACGACCATCTTTTATGCAACAGATTCAAGCATTTTTAGTCACCATCCTTGCCACTCCAGCCATAAAATTTAGTGAATGGTTCTGCTAAATTCTCTGTTTGTATCAATTTGTTGTTACATACATATGCACAACAGACATAGGAGAATTTTGTATATCTGATTTACAGAACCTCTCTCTGTTTATTTATTTATTTTTTTAAGATAACATTTACTAAATGTTGCTGCAATTTGATAAACATTTAAAGTTAAAATGGTAATAAAATGAATAAAAGTATTAAAAGTTAGAAAGTATTTAATGATGCTTCTAAACATTGAATATTGCTTTTGTGCATCTTCTAAAGCATATTAAGATGTTTTTGAATAATAAAAAAAATAATTTATATATTTTGCTTTGCAGATAAAAAAGATTGTTAAAGCCAATGAAAAAATTATTTCTGATGTTGATCCGTATTTTTATATTAAGTAAGTACTGTGATATATTTCAAGAAAACTTAAACACAATCGTTAGGCTAAATTCTATATCTAATTAAAGTAATACAAATATTTTATAAATTTAAAACTGTGAATTTTTTTATTCGGATCCCTTATAACTGTTTTACATTTGCCAGTCAGGCATTTAATTATTGTGAATTTTGCTTCAAGAATTTGATTTTTTTAGAAATATCAGTTTGTTTTATAGTATTGATATATGTTAGTAGAAATACGATTCGGGTATGCTGGATATAATTTTAATATCCAGTAGAGTAATATCCAATAGAGGATCTAGTTACATTAACATTGTATATATATTCTGCTTGAAAATGTTAAAGCATTTCTAATAACGAATTTTCTCCCATTATTTTTCTTGTTACATCTTACTCATCTTTTGTGTCATAGGAATTTCATTCACTAGCCTTTTAATTAATGAGTGACATTATTTAAAATTTTGATTTAAAAGTTTATTTTCCATGTATTTATGCATGCAGGTGTATAATGAGTAAATGAACATTTTCTCTGAAATAAATAGTGAATAAAACCTTTGATCTTTATTCTAAGACGAATAGTAGAGGGGGGAGAGAATGCTGTCTTTTTTAAATCTATGAGTTTTCAAAATACATTGTAAAATATTGTAAAAAGCAAGGTAACAAATGTCACATAAAATGAAAATAATTTCATCTTCAGTAATTAATAAATTTTAAAAACAGTTGTAATTTAATTTTGGTACTTGTTATTTAAAATATATTTTTCCAGAAAAATGTTTCCCCACCATTAGGAAATATAATTTTATTTTATATATTATTGAGTTGGCAAGAAAGTAATATCTGCAAAAAACTCAACCAAGTGTGATTTAAGGTCATCGTTATTGCTGAAATATTTACCATTTAAGAAGCTTTGTAAACTTTTAAATAAATGATAATCTGATGGTGTAAGGTTAGGGCTGTATGGGGGATGCAATATCACATCCCAACCAAACTCCAGTAATTTCGTATGTGTTACTAAAGATGTGTGAGGCCTTCCATTGTCATAGTGGACCATTCTTCCTTTGCAATATGCCAATTCTGACATTTTCTTGTGGATTGCTCTTTCCAGTGAGTAGAGAGAACTAGCTGGTTTCAGTTGTTCTTTACTACTGTATTATAGTTTGTTCTCACTTCTGGCATACATTTTGAAAATTAAATAGTGGATATAGAAATATAATGGTACTGGGAATCATTTTATCAAATTTTATTATTTCAAATATGTCTTGCTAACATCAAGTATATATTGCATCCTCCTTAATATGCACTCTAGAATCTGATTTGTTTCAGTAGAGGTAATTTTAATTTTCATTTCACCTACTGTGCTTTTCCTTTTAGGAATGGATGATTATGTATTAGCTTATAAATTTCTACATCAGAAACTTTTTAAAACAATTTAAGACTCGGCAGTTTTAATTTGTAAATTATTGTTTACTGTTCTATATAATAAAAAGACATTCAAAAGAGAAAGCTAGAAATACCAAAACTGAATGAAAACATGTATTTAGTATATAACATGAAAGTTGCATATGACTCAGAAAATATTTATTTTTACCAAATCTTACGATTAAATCAACGAAATGCGGCATTGAACAAGGAACAATCTGATACTAATTCAGAAGTCAAACAACAAAAATCAGCGTTATATTTACAAAATTTTCACAGGACTAGTTTCGATGGTTTTACAGAACCATCATCCTCAGCTGCAAAACCGCAAATGAACAAGATAGGAAATAATGATTAGATAAGATAAGATAGCCTGGACAAGAATAAGCAAGTGGTGCCATCTGTTGGTGAAACCAGAACTAAAACATAATTTCTTTAAAGGCCAAAGGCAAAGTTGGATTGGAATTAGGATCGTTAACTAGAACAGAAAGATTTTTCTGAATGTGAAATGCCTCTAGAAAATCCAGTTCTCCAATGGAAGATGTTTTTTGAATAATTTTGGCAGCAGAAAAATTAAAACTGTTCTTTTCGGACCAACAATGTTGAGCAACAGAAGACTTCTGTGTTTTTTTTTTTTTTTTTCTGACATATGCCTCATGTTCCTTGATGCGAAATTTTAAGGCTCTCTTAGTTTGGCCAATGTAAATTAAACCACACTAGCAAGGAATCCTATAAATACCCCAGGAATTCCTATCCGGAATGGGGTCCTTGAGTATGGAACATGGAATTTTATTGATGGGAGAATAAACAACCCGAAAGTTAAATTTCTGCAAAATATGTGCAACTTTATAGCTAATTGATGGAAAGAAGGGAATGACAACAGAATTTTTATAATCTCCTAAAACAAGAGTGGGCCTTTTAGTGTGTTGAGATGAAAATTTTTTAACTGCTTGATTAATAATGTTGGGTGAAAAGCCCCTGTCAATAGCTATTGCTTTTAAATAATAATTTAGTTCTTCATCAAAGGGCTAGTTTGGAGGAGCAAACTTGAAGAGCACGGAAAACATAAGAATAAAAATGAAGCTAACTTTTGTTTAGTCGGATGACATGATTTAAAGTGTGGTGGAAGGCAAACCGATGAAGGTTTACGGTAAACTGTAGTACTGAAGTTGGATGTGTTACGTGTGACCAGAATGTCGAGAAACGGAAGAGAATTGCAAGTCTCAAGTTCAAAAGTGAACTGAATAGCAGGATCAATAGAATTCATTGTTGAAAGAACTCTATTTAAACATCATCTTTATTACCTTCAAACAGGGTAAAAGTAATCATCTACGTAGCGGAACCATGCCGGGAAGTTTAAAGTTTCAAATAATTTTGATTCATAATAATGCATGTAGATATCAGCCAGGATGGGACTGAGGGGGCTTCCCATGGCTAATCCCTCAGTTTGCTTGTAATATTTATTTTGGAAAACAAAATGTGTTTGTTTCAAACAGAGTTGAGTGAGAGAAATTAGCTCATCAATTTCGATGCAAGAGAAATGGAATTCGCGAAGTCTGATTTCTAGACATCTTAATGCACCCTCCACTGGGACATTGGTGAATAATGATTTTATATCAAAAGAAACCATGAGTAAATTACTAGGAGAAATGTTTAAGATTTTCTACATTAACAATGATTTCAGCATACACAAAATCCAAACATTTTTATGATCAAAAGATAACTTACAAAGCTTCAATTTTTCGAGCTTGGCAAAGTTGCTGCTAATGTCCTTACCAGCTACTTAGCTACATCATAAGTTGTTGGCAGTAAACATCTGATCTGATCGTTTGGCTGCTCCGAAATATCTCAAAATATACAACACCTTTGTAATCCTACCAAACTGACAGCGTCATCTTTTTCTGATAAAATTTAGATTTCCATATAATTTGGGCTGATTCATCGTGCTTGGGCCATGATTTTTTTTTATTAATATTGTTGTATACAATCCATTTTCATCACCAGGGATAATTTATAAAAAAAAAAAAGCTTCAATAGCATAACATTCGAAATGCAGATTGCAAACATTGATTTTTATGTTAAGTGAATTTCTTTCATTTCATGCAGAACCAAATATCGAGCTTCTTAATGAGTCCAAGACACCATATGTACTTTTCAAATGTTGTGTGTGATACATTTAACCTTAATTTTGTCATTATCATCTTCAGAAGTTTGGCAAGAACATTGGTCATCTTCAATTGAAAAATCTGCAAGTCAAAATTCTTTAAATCAATTCTGACAGATGTTTGTTCATTCCAAGAAATCGACATTATAAGCATCACATATTTCTTTGTGAGCCTCAACTGCTTTGTTGCTTTTATGAAAATAAAAAAGTAAAATATGTCAAAAATGTTTATGTTTGCACACCATATGAAAATTGACCGTAAACTAACAGTTGCAAACAAAAATGCATGGAATTTCTTTTAATAGCAACCTAACAGTGTTAGCTGCCAAATCTAAAAGGAGAAAAAATATAAGTTTGGAAGAAGAATAACAAAATGAACATAATTTCATATTTGTGCAAACTGAAATTGCTTTCTTGCCAACCCAGTATTTTTATTCATAATTCAAACATGAAATTTTGCTTCTTAAACCAATTTTAGAAATATAGTAGGACTTTGATCTTCCATTTCTCAATGGGATAGAGGAGGAAGGAAAAAAAATGAGACTATGATTAAGCCTTGAAACAGTTACCCATTGTGAACAAGTAACTTATTGTAAATAAATTACAGTTATTGCTTTCAATGTGAATATACTATATTTAAAAAAGGGGGAACTGTTCTTTGTGAAAAAAGTACTATTTGCTTTTTAGCTGAACTTTATCTTAGGTGAAAGTTTCACTTTTCAAAACTTAAAATAGTCTGAGTAGTTTCCTTTTGTGCTTGGAAAAATTATCTATGAAACCTCTGAAGAACTTAATTAAACTTGTTGCAAACTGCAGCGAGATAAAATTTGGAAATAATAATAACTCAAATATGGAACTGAGGACCGCATGCTGAAGTGCTACATTGCTGTGTAATTAGATTTACTTAGTATATGAAGAAAATAAATTAAATAATAAATCTATATTTTTCATTAGTTTTTTTTTTCAGGTGATCAGTGCCAAAAAAATGTGATTTACAAACAATGCGGCAAAAATGATAGTTTGAGTGATAAGAATAAAAAAATAAATAATACAGTCAAAAGTCTTTAATCCGGACTCGTCGGGACTTCTCTGCGATTCCGGATTATCGATTTTAGATCATCAGTTTAAATCTGGTGAGATGGGCATGCACAAATTATAAAATTAAAAATATGAAACCGTAATTTATGAAATAAAGAGCAATTATGATCTAAAGCACATCAACATTTACCAAAAAAAAAAAAAAAAAAAAAAAAAAAAGCTTAGTATTTATTTGTTTACTTTATTAAAAATTTCTTTTAATGTGTGCATGCGTAAAGCGTACATTATGCATAGTCAAAATTAGAAAATTGAAACCAGAAAACTATTTGATGTGTACTCGCGATGTTTATAATGACGAGGAATTTGATTTAAATCATATCAAAGACCGAATACATCAAGATGAAATACTACATTTAGTAAGGAATTATAAGCTGAATAAAATAAAGACATCTGCCCTGAAGATAAGGATAGTGCTGACAGATCAACTTCCAGTTCATTGCGCGGGGCGAAGTCCCCCCCCCTTCAGAGCAGCGTGAAATTGATAAACAGATTTCGGAATGGTTAGAGAAACAAAGGATATGCCTTTATCAGTTAAAATTCCATAATCAGGCTGAGCGCCAAGCTTCGTGAGAGTTTTTTATTTTGTCGCGATTTTAATTTGGTTGTGGTTTCCCGCTGTATGTTTTCTTGTGGCAAACCTAGAGCTTTATTTCGGTAACTGTAAGAGCGCAAATTTAGTGTAGCCAGATTTTTTTTTAATTTAATTTTGAAATACTGTGTTTGCTTTTAAAAGTTTTACTGTTTAATATTATTGTTATATATATGTTTAATATTATATTTATATAAATATTTGCAGAAGGTTAAGCTGTTGTTGGTGGGAGAATGTTGGATTTCATATGACATGAAGTTTATAATTTATGAATGTTTCCATTAAATTTTATTCAGTTGAGTTATTTTTTTATTTTATTTTTATTTATTTTTTTTTTAAAGTTTTGTTTTTTGCATATGGCAACCGAAATATGTGGAATATTTACAGCTTTGAACGAAAGTTGTTTAGTGTGTTGAATTCCACGACAATAGTAACTTGAATATTTAAGTTAGTTTGTGATGCTGAATACGCATAATTTGCTGTTCTGTTTACATGTAAAACTGACTTCGCAGTGCTCTGATCTGATAAGTGTATACATTTATTTACTCAATAATTATTTACAAGAATTGCTCATTCTTCTATTTTATGATGAATTACATATATATAGGACTATTCTTTTACTTGCAAGGCTGTTGGACTTTGTTTACTCATCTAGTATTTTATCATCTCATTTTACTATTCTGTTTACATAAAATAACGGCATTTCACTACTGCAAAACTTAAAAGTTACTATTCTGTTTATGTATAAAAATCACATTTTAGTACTTTCATTTAGCGCACCTAAAAAATTCGCCAAATTTTGAAGGCCAAAATAGTTTGCCGCCAACTTACCCCACTTATGGAATTTTAGCCAAAGAATATGTATAGACTTTCTTTGTTTTACCCCTTTATCCATTTTTTGCAGCCATTTCACTTTTTGTTTGATGGACATCGAAACATACTTTCGCTTTGGCAGCTCCAGCATTGGAAATTCTATTTGACATAATCGAAAGTTCAAGCTTACTTTTATAAAATTGCTTTGACAGTCTGCAAAAAATAATATTCTGGATCCAATTCGAAGATTGGAACAATGCAATCTGCAACATTAACTGAATTAGATGATTTTAGCTTAGCTACCGTCCGTTATACATTAAACGCGCATGCGTGAACGTATTGTGCGTATGCGTGAACGCATTATCCGCTGACGCATGCGCAGAAAGTTTGTAGCTTTGAGGTCCGGATTAACGACTTTTGACTATTATTTATATGAACTTCATTTGGGACCAGAAGTACGAGAGCAATCCCAAAAAAAGGTCTCCTATATTTTTAGATATACAAAGAACCGTTTATTTTCTATAATTGCTACATCACTTTAAAGATTGAAGAATGCTTTATTTTTCAACATAATCGCCATTTCGGTCGATACATTTTTGTAGACGCTGTGGCAGTTTTACAATGCTCATGTCATACCAGCTTGCCACCATGCCCTTCAGGAAGCGTTGAACCTCATATTTCACCTCATCATCAGAGCAGAACCATAGCGGCGAAGAAATTTGCGGGAAGAATCAACCCCTTGTCGTTTGTGGTCTTCTGTCAGCATACGCTGCAACCATCTTGCACACACCTTCCAATATTGCAACTTTTCCATTAAAATCCTGTGGATGGTGCTACTGGAAACCTCAGGAACCAAAATGCAGAGAGCATCCAGAGTGATCCTCCGATCTTTACGCATGAGTTCCTCAACTTTCGCGATTGTCTCGTCGGCAATTGACGGCCTCCCACTCCTTTCTTCGTCATGAATTTCAGTGCGACCGGCTGTAAACTCTCTACACCACTTGCAAACATTTTTGACATCCATGCACGACTGTCCATACGCTTCCGTCAATAGGCGGTGAATTTTAACCGGTTTAACGCCTTTTGTGTTGAAAAATCGAATAACTGCGCGCACTTCGCACTTGGCGGTAACATTTATCGGCGGCAACATTTTCCAATGGCTGCCAAGCCAAAGACTGAGCATCCGAGTGAAGGGCCTGTGTCCTTTTGTGGTAGCGGAAAAGGCACCACTCACAAACAGTGTTGCCAACAACCGTATTAAAACTTTCTCTACGTCCCTAAAAAATAGGAGACCTTTTTTTTTTGGGATTGCCCTCGTACATATACAGCAAAATGATCATAGTGGGAATGATAAATTGAAATTATGTTGTGTATATTTTTAAATTGAGAAAAATTATTTACATTCTGAAAATTACATAAATTAGTGAAGATTTAATATGATACAGTTTTCTGTTATTTATTCAAGCATAGTATCATTTAGTAATTAAGTGCTTTGAGCTGAGTTAGTAATAAGCGCTTGAATAATTTAATCATTCACCAAACTTGGAACAGCTGATTTAAATAATACTCCATTATTAATATAACTTTTTAAAATTTTCTTTCTCAAGGTATTTGGATATAAAAGTTGGAAAGCCAGTTATTGAAGCAGGTTATCATATGGCAAATTTAACAACTCCACATGAGGTAAAAATTTTATGTGATTATTTTTTTTATGTTTGATGGTACATTTTGCGAACTATATAATAAAATATAAAATATAAATTGATTTAACTCTTGTGGCACATCCTATTAAATTTTAAAAGTCTGAATTACTGATTCATGGAGGATCACCTCTTGAGCATCATGGTGTCATGAACCTGGAACCTCAGTTATCTTTTTCTTTTCCCTTTTCCTCTTGTGTATTATTTTCTCAGGGTTGCTTCTGGAAAACTGGGAAAAGTCAAGGAGTTCGAAAGTTGACCAAAAAAGTCGGGGAAATGTCAGGAAATTCAAATATTTTAAAATCTTGAAAAGTCAGGGTATTTCTTATTGTTATCCCCCAAAAAGCGATTTTCACACCAACATTGGAAGTGATCACTTTCTTGGTGAATCATGTATTGTGCGAGTATCATTTAGACAGCTGGCATCAAACCAATTTTTGCAGTACCAATCACAGATTGTCTTTTAGAAAGGCAAAACAAGTTTCCAGCATCTTTGGTTTCCAGTACCCTCGAGAATTCAGAGATTCACATGCGCATTTGCAGTGCATGTTGAGCAAAAGTAAATTCCCCTCATTTTCGAAACAAAATCTTTTAAACCTTTTCTTCTTTCTTAAATGCTTTACTTGTCATTTTGCAGTAAAATAAAAAAAAAGTAGCAATTATTCATCTAGGCTAACCATTGAATATAGCTATTCACCAAAATACCGTTGATTTTTGTAATTCATTTTTAATCCTTGAGTAATTTGTTTTAATGTTATTCATATCATTTAATGTGCCTTCTTGCTTCTAAATTTATTTATTATTAGTTAATAATACTGCAGGCAATTTTCTTTGGTATACTTGTGAAACTAATTCTAGCAGAAATATGACATACCATCATGGAATTTAGTGCACATATTTTTTTTTACTTACGTATGTTGCTAAATAAATATAAAATACTTGAATTTATTTAAAAATATCATTAAATAGATTTCTTTTTTCCTTTAGCTGCAAAATGTCTGCAGAAAAGACTTTTTAAATTCCTGATTGGGCAGATTCTAATCTCAATCCTCAGTGGAGAAAACAATTTCTATTATAGTTATAAAAGTAATGCTTTGGGGATTATATATATATACATCAAATGATAAGTAATATGTAATTGGAAATTTTTGTGTTTTCAGGTAGTACCATAATTAATTTACAGTCAGCACAACCAATGCGCATGATGCGGATAGCCTGGAATTTTCTTGAAACACACCTGAAAAACCTGGAAAAGTCAGGAAATGTCATTCTTTTATTTGAGTAGCAACCCTGTTTTCTCCCTTTTTACCTTTCTTTTTCCTCTTTGGAAGTTGGATACTATAAAGTGCAACTGCAAACCTTTTTCCCAGCTTCTCATGGTGGGTAAAACTGTTCATATGTTTGATGTGATTGTAAATTTGTGTGGAAAAGAGGTTTGCAATACACTGCTTTGGCTTCTGATTTAGCTGATCTTCTAAGTATCTAATTTAAGTTCTTAATGATCTTGTAAGTCTCAGTTAACTGGGCAAATAATATTTGGGTTTAGAACAAGAAACTGGAGTTTCCACTAGGTGTCTCATTAAAATCGGTGGCTGTTTGAGGAATGCTGTGACGCTGTGCATATACAGGCTGTCTATAATTAAAGAACCCTATTTCAAAGCTGTGTACAAGCAAAGCCCCTGATCAGAAAATTGTGAAATTTTGTGGTGGACTTAATGAAGGGATGAGAATGTCTTTCAGCGAAACAAAATTAATTACAAATAGCATCATCAGAGAGCATAATATTAATTTATATTAATAAATTATACATTTAACCACACCTTTACAATAGTTTTACAATTGTACAAATTTTTTCAAAAAAAAAAAAAAAAAAAAAAAAACATGTTCTACATGATGGATATCATTTTCAACTACCATCTGAAATCATAAGATAGCATGTTCCACGGTTGACCAAAGCTTGTGCTCAGCATGTGGAGTGTAATGCTGGCTTTAGGATCATGTAAATTCTTGGATTGTCACGACTTATCAGATGTTTCATGTGTCCCCAAAGCCGAAAATCGCATGGATTAAGGTCTGGGGATTGGGGAGGCCACACATTACGAAAGTGAGGGTTGTTTCGATAAAACAGTCTTACTAACAAAGCACAATCTCATAAATTGATCATCGTAATGAACAACAAGCACATTGAAAACAAGGTCTCTGCGAATGTTTCTAGGTTTTATAATAGCTGCTGCATGACATCGACAGAGATTTACATAATTACTACAGGTTTTCAAAGTAAAATGTCATCTATTTGTAACTTTTTTTTTTTTTTTCCTGAAAGACATTCTCATTTCTTCATTAAGTCTACCACAAAATTTCTCAGTTTCCTCATCACTGATTTTGCTTGTAGGCAGCTTTGAAATAAGGTTTTTTAACTATAGACACCCTGTACAACTGGCACTGTCGCAGGGATCTGTGTCCCCTTATTAGATTCTATGGTGGGTGGTGCAATAATTTTCTGAAGTTTTTATATCTTCCTATTCTGTCTTTCTCAGATTCAACGTCTCAGCAGTGGTTTGGGCAATTAATTTTTGTCGCCAAATTTTGAGACTATTTGGCGACATTTTGGTCTGGTCCCTGTATCACTGTAATAGATATTGTGAATGGAATAACTGTAATTGATTTTATGTGTAATCCCTTTCCAGTCCTCATATGCCTTCCAGTAATTTCGAAAAGCAGAAAGTACTAGAAATCTCACAGCGGCCGGAAGAAAACCATATAAGACCAATGAAAGCATCAATTGTTGTTGTTGGTAGTTCCGTGTCAGTTCAGAGTACTGAGATATCTCTGGATTAGCTTCACTGTTTAGATGCACTTTGCATTGCAATTTGTTTAATAATGTTCTTAGTAGCTTGAAGTGATACTAATGATTTTACTTTGTGATACTGTGAACACCTGTACGAGTATTTCTGTGGAATGTTCCAGAACTCTGAAGTGTTTCTCTTGATAAAGTAAATTTTATCAACCTATCATTGGAACTGGGTATATTCAATCTAATATAAACACGTATGCATGCAACAGTACATATTCTTCATTAACAACAGAGAATATAGAAATTGAACTTGAATCTTTTTCCTCATTGTCTAATTCAAGATTTTTGGTTATAAAATTTATCAGAGTATTATTTTCATTCATAAATTTGTGGAGGGATAACATTATAAATTGTTTTGATGGGTAAGAAGGGTACCAGCTGAAAACAGGCAGAGAGTTAGAAATTTAGTGATAATGTAAGACTTTATAATTTTGCTTATTCTGAGTACTGTATATATTTCCATAGTACTTTTCAGAAAATATGGCTGTTTTAGAAATGCAAGTCATTCTGAAATTTATATAACCTCGAATACAGGAAGTAAAAACTTTATTGCAATATTCGTGAAAGTATATTTGTTTCCATTTCAGATTCATATTAATGAATATAAAACTAAGTTTATTGCTAATATTTGGAATAACAATTATTGAAAATGAATTTTTGCTGTCTTGATCTACATACGAGGGCCATCCAGGAAGTAGATTACGTTTCCGTCTGTGTCCGCTAGGGGCGGGGCTAGCGCGGCCATCTTGGGGTCAGAGCGTTGCGCCAAGGTTCTTTAATATACTAAGGTTAGGCCAGGAACGGAAAAAGCGTGCCATTGGTTGCTGGTAGTGACGTCACCCGGGAGACAAGACGCATCGGCCGACGCATCTGCTACATGATTTTGGTAATGGAAAAAAATGTAAACTAAAGCAAAGTGATCATTTTATATGTGGTAGATACACCAAACCGGAAATACCCGGGTTAATACTTTCCGATTAAGTATTTTGTTAAAGAAAATGTTTATTTTATGCACAGAATTCGTACGAATGCTGAAAATAATTGTAAACATTAAATTCTTTTCGTAAAGGAAAGCATTAGAAAATGAAAAACGTTATTTAAGTTAATTAAGGGAAATAAATATTGTAAAAACAAGGTATTTTTCAATATATTTTCGTAGTATTGTTTGCACTAAATAAATCTTGTTGAACAGAACGCATGATGGCATAACTGCTAAGACCATGGCAAAAACATAATCAAAAAGTATTATTCTATTTATTTTCATTGCTCATGCACACTTTTTTTAATACAAATGAACTTTGACATTCCATGAGAAATATATGATCGTGATTTTCAGTTTAAATAATTACTAATCTCAAGCAATATATATAATAAGAGATTTGACTTAACAAATTCATATTTAAATACCATAAAATTCTACAAATGTCTTAATATCCGTCATTATACTTTTAAATAGTATACTTATCACATTCTTTTTAAAGTGAAAATGCACTTCATACTGATTCACTTCACTTCACTTCAGATTTTAGCAGAAGTGCATATATTTCAGTATAATCTAAAATCTAAAAGTACTCTTATAATCCCTTCACTCCAAATCCCTTCACTCCCAAGATTTCTATATATACATTTATCCTGACGTGATTAATTGCTACAACAGTAATAATCTTCGATATTGGCATCCTGTTCTTCCTTCCTTCCATACATTAAAAATGGAACAATTAAAATACATTTTCTTACACATATACGCACAATAATAATAATAATAATAAACTTGCCCTACATCTTAGTTTCGGCCCGGCCAGCGGCACCAGCGCCGAGCGGTAAAGTCGCTGAACACTGGTAGTTCGGTTCGAATTCCGCGAACGGGCCGCTGGCTGCATGGGTGTTTTCGTGGTTTTCCTCATGTGTAACGTGTATACGAGCCAGTTTCCCTGAGAAAGTCCTCCACGAAGGCATCACAACGCAGATAGCCCTAGTGTGCTTTACCATAATTAAATATACACCACCACACAATCTTAATTTCAATTCAGCCTGTACATAAATTAAATATTTTTAATTACTAATGTATTTTTATCAGGTTGTTTCTTCTTAAAATACTTTTGTTTATACTCTCGAAATATGCGTTCAATATTGAATTATTTTTCTTCTCTTATAATTAAAAACAAGTTATATGGAATCAAAATTAAAACATATGCAGCAGTTAAATAACACTGAACAGAATATCTTACTTACTCTTTCGCTATTTGTATTGTAGCATTATACACAGATTTGTTTTTCCTTCAGATTCAAGCATGTGTAAGTTATATCAATTAAATTACATCACACACACATCCCTGTATGCATCAGTTAAATAACACTGAAGGAAATATGTCACTCACTCATTCGATGTTTTGCATCATAGTGTGGTCGAGAAATTGTTCTTTTTTCGTCACGGTGAGGCATGTATCAGTTTACTTAGTTCGCAAAGCTTAACCCAGACGCTGCTTCAATACATAGAATTCCGTTTGGGATGTAAAGAAAGTAACCAAAACATGTGAATGAAGTTGGATACGCGAATTTATTAACTAATCATTCAGGTACTCAGTATTGGTAAACATGACACTGAGTTTAAATATCTCACTACGATGTAAGTCTCATACACAAAATGAAGATTATGATAAAAAAATGATTTAAAATGAAAAATTTTTCAATTTAAATGTAAAATAGGAGTAAAATGAAAAATAAATGTAAAATTACATCACAGTTATGTATGAAAACTATTAAACGTCATTAAAAAAATAGTTATTTTATCTGGTTGTAAAGAGTGTTTTCCGAATTAACAACACAAATCAAATCAAACTGTTAATGCAACGAAAGTAAACAAACGCCAAGAACTAACGCTGTCACCCACATGACGTCATGCGTATGTGGCTTAACTTTCTCCCTGCACTGCGCATCGCTCTTGGGCCCCCCCTGGCGTTGCGCAGCTCAGTCTGCATCTAGCCGTGCTAGTGAGAGGTTCGTGCTGTGCTCCGTTCAGATACTGTGACGGTTTGAAATGTCTGCGTTAATTGAAAATCCCGCGAGCTGCGAGGTGCGCTCAGTAATAAGGTTTCTGACTGCAAAAAACTGTAAACCGATAGAAATCTATCGGCAGCTTCGTGAAGTGTATGGGGACAACATTATCACTGAAGGTGGAGTGCGTCAGTGGGTCATAAGATTTCAAAATGGCCGAACCAATGTTCACGACGAAGATTCGAAGTGGGAGACCCAGCATAGTGACCGCCGAACTTCTCGAAAAAAGTCGATGCTAAAGTCCGTGAAAATCGAAATTTCACAATAACGGAACTTTCTTTGAGTTTTCCACAAATTTCGCCGAAGTTTGTTGCACAAAATCATCAGCGAAAAGCTTGGTTACCACAAGTTTTGTGCACGATGCAAGGCAAGAAGAGGTAACGAAGTGGTTGAAGGCGCAGGCGGGCCCGAATTTTTCGACGAAGGAATTTCCAAGCTCGTACATCGCTACGATAAATGCCTTAATTTGTATGGTGACTATGTAGAAAAGTAGTATTTGAGTGTGGCTTTCATCTGTATATAATAAAATTTGTTTCCTATACTTTGTTTATTTTTTTATTCCAAAACGTAATCTACTTTCTGGATAGCCCTCGTATATCAATTATTTACCCAATTAAAAAAATAAAAACTTATTTTATTTAAAATGGAATTCTTTAAAAATGAATGCATTAATTATAAATAATTTAAGGGAGATTAACTATTCTTTATCATCTGAAATTTAATATAGTATGATGATTTGTTGTAAAACTTGGAGGTTATATTTATATTAGAGATTTCAAGTAAATTTAAATGTAGTTTATAACGTAAGTAATATATAATGCATTTAAATGTAGCTTATAATTGATGTTTTCTTCTAAAATATAAGTTTTTTCATTTAAAATAGTAATCAATTTTATTTCAGTGTCGACTGCGAGATATTACATACAGTGCACCCATTACAGTTGATGTAGAGTATGTGAAAGGTCAGCAGAGATACAGAAAACTTGATCTAAATATTGGAAAGTATGGCATATTTGTAATTTTTTATTATCTCTTAGTTATCTTTCTATTATGTAAAGTAGCTTGATAATTTACACTGTATTTCTGTGGTAATATATCAAGTTAATGAAACTCAGTTTTAAAGCATTAGTAGTTTACTTAAAGCATTAGTTTTAAAGCATTTTAAAATATGGATTTTGCAATCTGACTTTTTGAGTTGGGAAAAATTTTGTTTGTAATTTTGTTCAGGTCGTATTGTATTTTTAATGCCAAAAGGATTAAGTATGTTTTATCGAAGATCTGCCCCTTATTAATATTGGTTTCACTGATTCAGCCATACATATTTTGATTTGCAGATGCATTTAGAGTTTGAAATGAAGTGATTCAAGGATGCAAAAATAAATTGTTTAATGATGTTATAAGGTATTTCTCCTACCTTCTTAGCATGCTTTCATGGTGTAGGGTCAGCACGCTCAACGCATATTCGAGAGGTCTGTGGTCCGAGTCCCGGCGAGGGCATTGCTTATTTTTCATATATCCTGCTTCCAAATAACTTAATGTCTCTACAGTTGCGCCCAAGCTAAAAAAGGTGGTGGATAATGATTCTCCACCACCAGGATTTGGCGATTGTGTCCTCTAATCCCCAGTCACCCTTCAAAAGGAGGAGTATGTAAGGTATTTCTCACGCCTTCTTAGCATACCTTCGTAGTGTAGTGGTCAGCACACTTGACACGTATTTGAGAGGTCCGTGGTTCGAGTCCCGGTGAGAGCATTGCTCAATTTTCATGTCTCCTGCTTCCTAATAACATAATGTCTCTACAATGTTTGAGAAAGGTGAAATAGGTTAAAAATGCATAGAAAGGAATTTAGGCAAATAACATTGCAAATGTTTTGGTAGAACTCTCATTACTTTATAAATAAAAACTCATGAAATTAAAGGGTTATGAAAATAAGGGATATAAACTATACAGTTCTGTTTGTCCTAAAGTTAAAAAGTGATTGAATTTGATTTAATGATAATAATATTGTCTTTAAATCTTTATAATTTGACTGCTATTGTCTTGTAAGTTTAGGATAACAATATAATATTAGGTAATAAAATGCATTGAAATCTTTTGTGTGTACTGCTTATGAAATTGACAGGATTTTTTTAAAATATAAATGAATATTGGTATTGAACATCACTTCTATGAGGTGACCACTTTCACTGAAAAAGAAAAATCTCTTAAAAATATGAGGGGCTGTTATAGGGTGATTTCATTCTATTTTTATTATTACGTATTATAGGAAAATTAGTCTGTTGTTGAAAATTTTGCCATAGACAGAAAACTGAGAGTTTAATGTTTCCCCTTACTCAATTATTTTTGGGCAAAAGAAGGTAAAAAATAATTTTTAGATTGAAGTAATATAGTAAACTTTATTTGAGCATATTAAAAATAAATTATTTTTAACCTCTGTGTACCTTTTTATTAGAGGTTATTTGTTTAAATTAGCATATAAAATTTAATTAGTGTTTAATGTATTACTGGATTATTTTTAGAATCATTATTAATATAGCACAAATAATGCATTCCATTTTTTAAGGATGCCTATTATGTTGCGTAGTTCCAATTGTAGACTACGAGGCAAAACTCAGCATGAATTGTATTCACTGAATGAATGCCCTTTAGATCCAGGAGGTTATTTCATTGTTAATGGAACAGAGAAAGTAATTCTGATGCAAGAGCAACTGTCCAAAAATCGAATGATTGTTGAAAAAGACAGAAAAGGTTGCATATCATGCCAAGTAACAAGGTATTTATTTTTTGTTTCATATTCAATTTTGAATTAATTTTCCTGAATCCTTTTATTAAACCAGGGCTTCTCATAGTCTTGCAAGATTTTCTATTATGCACCTTTCAAAAATGCCTTTATGTTATAAATAATCGCTCTTTAATTCATTTTGTGTGATGGGGAGCTTGAGAGGTTTAGAGAATTCAAATGAAATTAATTTTTCGCGACTAAAAATATTTTCAAAAGAATGTTTCTCCAAGAGTATTATAGATGATTTCTGTGAAAATATAAATAAGAGAAACATCTAATCTAAATAATTGAAATAATTAATTGGAATTCATGATTTTTATCCCCATATTTCACTGTTCACAACACAATAAATGACTAATTTTATTATAAAAAATAAATGAGGTGATTACTGAAGGCAACATAGATAGAATGTACTCTATTGAATTATATCTACATTTAAATTGAATAATTCTGAAATACAAATTAAATCTTTGGGAGTTAACAGATTTGACAAATAATTAATGTAAACTGAAATTTAGAAATTTCTAACATTCAGTTTTATGTCTTAATTAGAAAAAATTAAAAGGATTTATTTACATTCAATTTTGAGTCTTTTGATTTATGGAGCCCACCAGCGGCCGAGCGGTAAAGTCGCTGAACACTGGTAGTTCGGTCTGAGGTTCGAATCCCGCGAACGGGCTGGCTGCATGGGTGTTTTCGTGGTTTTACCCATGTGTAACGTGTATACAAGCCAGTTTCCCTTAGAAAGTCCTCCACGAAGGCATCCCTCCGCTTACGCAGATAGCCCTAGTGTGCTTTGCTGTAATTAAATACACACACTTTTGATTTATGTAATGAGAACACATGAATGTGGGAAGTTTTAAAAAGACCTTTAAGCATAAGCAAAAATATGTTGTTGTATAATCATAAAGATATAATTAGATAAGTTTAAAATTCCTGAGCCTATAGACTGAAAATGAAACAGTTGTATTTTGATAATTGTAAAACACGTTTCAACTTTCTAATTGTAAACCATTATTATGAAACTAAAACACTGGCCAAAAGTATTGATTTATGAACAGATTGTTATAAACTTGCATTTACTTAAAATTTCTATATTTGGGAATATTATTGTTATCTTGGATATTATCTTAAAGCATTTATAGTTCCTAAAGGTAAAACAAAAATGTGCAAAGTATCTATTATAATTTCAATGGAGAAAATGTAAATATTCATCTGATCCCTTGTCAGAAGTATTTACTATTGTTTATTCACATTTTCAGTTCAACCAGTGAAAAGAAAACTAGGACAAATGTCATAACAAAGAAAGGTCGTTTTTATCTGAAGCATAACAGTTTTACTGATGTAAGTCCTTTTCTCCATCTTTTTATATGTTTGATATAGAAAAACTGAAATCTACAATCTGTATCTCTAGCTAGTGGAATTAGTTTGCTTAATTTTAAGTCTATGTTAATAAGTTTGAAAATTAATAGAGCATATAGTAATGTTACTATTCTAATGCTTCCTTAAAAAACAATGATAATAATAATAAACAAACAAAAAATACCATATATCCTCAGATATTTTCCCCCCTTATCTTTTTATCACCAAGTTCTAAATTTTTAAAAAATATATATGTAATTTTCCTCTTCCTCGGTGCATTCAGAGAATGAGCTTCCTTAAATATTAAAATGGCTTCGTCCATGCACTGATTGTTTTCATTTTATTAATGATGACAAACTCTCCCAAATTATCTGCGAAGATCATTCTGAACCTTTCCCTTGTAACTGTTGAACATTATGCCAGCCTAATACAAAACTGACCCATTACAGCAAAGCAAACATGAAATGACATTAAGTCTACAATTTTACTTAGCTGAACTTGCTGTAATTATTTATGGAGGATTTTAGTCCTAAGGTGTAGCAGAGGCAACAATGAAAATGAGCTACAAGAAAATACCTTATCTGATATTATAATATTAATATTACTGTGTATTACTATTAGAACATAGGTTTCCTTTAACCCATTAGCCGCTGGTGCTGCGTTGACGCAACGGTCAAAATAAATGCATCTATAAATATAACTACCCAAGATATTTTATACCAGCAGATGATTTTGTGTAGGGAATATTATGAAGATTATTTCTGTAAAAAAATATTTGTCTTCAACAATCATTTTGCTGTATATTAATTAATCTCATACTTTAAGCAAAATTTTCGACCGGGTAATTTTTTTCTGAAAATATTTAACGAAAGAATCACCGTCTTTAATGAGTGATCTATTTTTAGTCTAGGTCACCGTTTATCAGAACATTACATCAGTCAGATGTTTATATTTGTGTTGGGAAGGAAGGGAAAACAGGTGTTGCATTGACGCATAGTCAGCAGGAAATGGGTAGTCAATCTCCTTTTTCACTCGTTCCTTTCGATGTTCTGGTTCATGCTCTGGTTGTTTAAAGTACCTAGAATGAGGTATCTTACATCAGAAGAAGCCCTTGAAAGATTTTTTGGTGAAGAAACAGATGATGATAATGTTAATAATGACCAGAATGAAACTGATATTGTTGTTGTTCCCCCAGAAATTGCAGAGGCTAGTGACGAAGAAGAAAGGAATAACAATGTTTTAAATTATGATAATGATATTTTATCAAATGATACTGCTGTAGAAGCTGAAATTCACGTAAGAAGTAAGTTTCAGCCTTCTAAAAGCAGTTATAGTCAGACTAAAAATTTAAAAGCAGAAGACTGAAATCTTGAAGTGGATAAAAAAGGAATTGTTAGTTATGTCTCCGGAAAGACATGAAGAAAGAGATAGAAGAGAAATTATAAAAGACAAAGCACAAGGTAAAACTAGTGCACAGATTTTCGATTTTCTTTTTGGTTTAGACATTTCCTCTCTTCTCGTTGAACAGACAAATATGTACGCTCAGCAAAAAAAAAAAAAAAAAAAAAAAAAAAGAGCCCCAAAATTTATTGCATCTGAAGCCTATATGAGAAGATTTAGTGGTGGAATATTATTGCTTACAGGATATCAATCTTTACCTCAAGAAAAAATGTATTGGTCTTTTGATAAGGACATTATGTTCCTGTTGTACGAGAATTGATATCACATTTGCAGTACAGGAATATGAAACAGAATTTGCATTTGACAATACTGATAAATTATATGAGGTGAGACCGTATCTAAACTTACTAAATATCACCACTTTTTACTACTGGAAATATAAAGTCTCTTTTAGATTTCACACGCGAAAATGCATTATTTCTTTTGCAAACTCCTATTGAGAGTGTAGAATTAGCTAGACATAGATCAGCAACAGGAAGACCTGGTAAATTCAGCATTCAAACCATTGCATGGAGATGGTAGACATTTTATCGCAAAGTCCGTTGATAACAAAAGACTTTGTTATAAAAAGTACCATAGCCAGACTGTTTATAGATGCAAAGTATGTAATGTAGCTTTACATCATGATCGTAATCAAGCTTTTCATGCTTGAATCTTTCAAATGAAATAATCTGTATTTGTAAAAGAAATACAATGTATATTTTAATATTAAATTAATTACAAGTGATTTGTAGATTTATAAAATATTATACAACTAAAAAGTAATCCTGTGCTCCATTCAAAAGAAACATCATACGAGTATAATCCTACTCACTAAACATCCGTAGTCTTATTCCGCTGATATTGCGCAAACGCAACACTTGCTTTTTCCACAGGTAAGAGCATTTTTTTAATTTTAAATGTAAATTTATGTTATAAATGCTTAATTTAATATTTGTTATTATTTTCATGAGAAAAGAAACATTCCTTGTAGTTTTGGCGGTTAATGGGTTAAAGAAATAATTGTAGTGGTAGTTACCTCTAGTTTATCAATGACTGTTCTTCATTCTTACTGTAACCATGCACTTCAGAAGTTAAAATATTCACATAATTTTCCCCTTTCGGATTTCAGGTGGTAAAATTAGTAAAAAAGGTGAAAAAGTATGCAAAGAAATGAATTATTAAAAAATCTGGTGTAAATACCATATGACTTTTTTTTTACAGAATATTAAATTGTATACATTTTCTCCTGCCTTTCATTTAAGCTTATTTCCTTGAATTTCATTAGAGATATATTTCTCATTCAATTAATTCAGTTCTTACTTCACGACAAGGCGAAAATACATAAAAACTCTAAATATCTATATTAAAAATTGAAAGATATAAAAAAACATAAAACACCAAATACAGTTAAAGCAATTAAAAATGTTTTTTACAATTAAAATTACAGTTTCTATATAAAAACAAGCAATTCGGCCAGCGGGCAAAAAGGCAGATTTTTCGGTGTGCAAACCTGAAAGTTTACTTTTGGTCTCACTCAGCAAAGACACTGGAGGCGTAGAACCTGACTTATAATTTGTTGTGGAAGATATGCTGAGTCAATATGTGGGATAATTTAACAACTTAAATGATAATTCCAGAATGGATTAAGCATAATTTAATTCGCAATAATAAAAGAAGACATTACTTTGTTGTTGTGAAGCTTAGTTTCTCTAGATTAGCGTACAATAACATGCAGGTTTAACTAAAGGCATAAAAACCTTAACCAGAAGATAAGAACAACATAATTCAATCATTTTTATATGAAAAAATGCACAATTTGCAAATATATAAGAATAAGAAAACTGAGTAACGGAGTCAATATATAATATATGTATATTTATATGTATATATACTTTTGGTGTGTCTGATTGCAACCAAAATAGGAGGTGCACATCTACATGTTATAGCAGTCATATATACAAAATTTCAACATTCTAAGGCTACACGTTTTTGAGTTCTGCAAGGTACATGCATACGTACGCACACCATGAAAAAATCTCTTCTGAATCCATTTTAAATCAGTTTTATAATTCATTTATACCTTACATATACCTTCCTTTATAGCGTCCTTACATATAAATGCCGTGTGAAAACAGCGGTAAGTTGAATTTGCTAGCGGTCAAAATGGATATTTTTTCAAATATGATACCCGAAATTTTTCACGATTACAATATTTCCTTTTTACTTTGTAAATGGAAGTAAAAATTAAACATTTTGATAAAATGGTTAAAAAAGCATGTTATACTGTTTTTTTATTAATGTATGATTAGCATTTGTTATATTGTTTTTATATGATCTATTTGGACAATGTTTACTAACTCTCTTTTAATTAATTTTTCAGAAGAATGATTCTGCTTTTATTAAATTTATTAGCTGCACTATCTATTTGAACATGAACCTAGACTTCTTGTATGGACAAAATGTCTAATTTCGAATTGATAATTAATGTAAATTTTTTTAAATTTAAAGTCGGGAAATATAATGCCAGTCAGTGAATCTGTCATTCACAGATTTCCACGTCACCCATGAGGTAATGTGATTGGGATTCATCCCCATTATTTAACGTGGTGGGATTCCCAATAGGTCTACATCATGAAAAATTGCCAACATAAAACTAAAGTTTATATAATATTTAACTGTTGTCATAAGTTGATTTAAATGTTGTTTGTATTCATTGGATAGATGCAAGTTACTTACCAGTTTAATAATTTTAAAGAAAAATGCATTCATTGGCAACATTGTATTTCATATCTAGTTTTGGCAAAAATAAAAGAAAGTTCTGAACTTGGATTTGAAAACCAAATGTATGAGAAACTTCTATTGTATAACAAAAGTCCATTTTGGACAAGATTTACGTAAAATCCATTCTTAGTGCACGTCTGCATTGTGGGATGAGTAACTATGCAAAATTTCAAGTCAATCGAATGTATAGTTTCGGAAATCTTGTGATGAGTCTGTGGTATTTTGCTCATATATAGATTTAGTAAAACTGCCATTGTCTGTTGGATTCTCTTTTTTTAAATAATCTGTGGAGATTCACAAATGGTCATCTATAATTATTTGCATTCTATCTCATATTTTTACGAAGGAGGCCAAAATTTTGTGTCTAGATTGTATGTTTTAGTGATAAAGAAAAGAAATTTTCAAATAAGCTAATACATTGAAGAAATTTCTGAGTGTAATGCAATTTTTGAAATGGCAACCAAATTTGAAGGAAAGAAAATATGGCTGTTATAACTGTATCACTGAAGATTTCTTTTATCTTTAGTACAAAGTTTGAGATATGAAATTGTTGCTATTTTCAGATTTTTAGACTATCAGTTTAAATCTAATAAGATGACATGTAGACTTAGCAACAATAGGACATCACTTCTGTTTAAGTCAGAAAAATGTGTTTCTCAATAATCATTCAAGGACTGAAAGTGTAATCACGGTTTAACATCATTACAAGGTCAGTTCAGTTTTGTTATTGTAGTGGAGTAATTCCATAGCTGGCAGGTGTCTGAAAGTGACATAAATTAATCTCAGTGAGTCAGGAGGGGGGGGATCACATTTATGGCACACCTGCTTCTTTTTATTAAATATTAAATTTTCCATTCCTAAACTTTTTTTTTTTTTTTTTTTTTGTATGGCATGTCTTGTTTGTATGTTGGTGGTTTGGAGCTCTGGATATTGGATGTTCAGATCTCTGACTTTGTACTATACCAGTTATTTTTTCTCATTAATCTATATTTTTTCAATAAAATAAATAAAGCTTTTTAATTTCTTTCTTACTCATTTTATAGTTATAGCATTATCATATGTATTGTAATATGTATTTTATTTCTTTTGAAATTTCCTTGGTGTTCTGATGGAATTTAAATAATTATATGAATATTAAATTAGATTGCTTTTCTAGCTATTTGCTATAAAAATCCATCAGGTTATTGTGGTCCGGATATAGCCAGAATTCCAGATATTTTTACTTTCTCAAAATCAGGAATTTCTGAATTTGAGAAATTATATATACCATGCCATAATGTAAATATATAATCTTGAAGATTTAAGTGCATAATTAATTGTTACTGATGCTAAAGCTGTAAAAAAATGTTAATGGTAAGTTAGCTCATTAGGAAGGGGGTTTAAATATTTTCTGAAAGGAATATATAGAATTATATGCAAACAAAAGCTTCCCTAAAAATTCTTTCCTTATTAAATTTAATAGCATGAACCCTGTTTTGCATGGTGAAATAAATGCAGTTATTGCTTTCATAAAATGAGCAGAAAATTTTCTAAGTGCCATTGCAAAAGATGAGAAAACACCTACTTTCAATAAATTATTCCTGGTGAAGAAACTTGGATCCATGCTTTTAAGCTAAAGAGTAAATCTCACGGAAACATCAATGATTTCGCTCTTCAGGTAATGATCAAAGACCACCTTTCCACAATAAAAGTGTAGGTTTTTTTTAAAAATTTTTTATTTTATTATTATTATTATTATTTAGAAGGTTAGTTGAGTTCAGTAACTTAACATTTTTTAGAATAGGAATTTTACAGTTTTGCAGAATATTTTTTAGAACATGTAATTTTTTACATTTGTAAGCAGTGCTCATTATAGTTATATGGTGACAACAGCTTAAAGAACATAATTCAAAATAAATGCACTGTCAGAAAGTTATCTTATTGCAAGGTGCCAACTGCCTATAGATGCTGTCTGCAATACTGCAACTTTTTAAAAGCTGAAATTTAAAATGATGTCTCAAACTACACGTAGCCCAAATCTTGGCGTTTCTGTCACTTGCTTGGTGTGCTGAAGAGGCATTAGGAATTGATTCAACATGGGCAAAGAATGAGAAAATGGAGGCTTTCTTGTATATTCCTCAATCACATTAATTCATTTTGTGGGGTATAAGAAAGTTTATGTGTCAATGGGCTATATATATTACAGAGTAGTAAACTGGTAAAAGATGCTAATCTAAGTTTTCTATTTTTGTTGAAAAAATTTATAATTGCTGACTAGTCCATTAGTAACAGATCACAGTTGAAATTATTGTAACTATTAGCAGAAGTGCATTTTTGTATGGCTTTAACTCGTAATATATGGCAGAGGTGTGATATTCTAAAGCTGTTCGCACATTTAAACAAAACTTCAATTCAGTTCCATACTAGATATGCCGCAGATGAGGAGACCCAATATTGTCAACATGGCCAAGAACAAAGAGCTAAATTAGGTATTAGTGTCATCACCCCACAAATTCAAACCAGCATGCCATTAATCTGCATCACTAGTAATTCTCAGAGCGTCATTACAGAAAATGCTCAAAGATATGAAACTGAAATTATATTATTCAAGACTCATCAACATGCTGAATGAAGATGATCCTGATTGCCACTTGCAATTTGCTGAAAAGTGGCTCACCAAGTTAGAAGAGTACCTGCAGCTGGAACAGAGTGGTATGGACTGATGATGCCAAATATCTCCTGTCTGGTAGTCCATTACAAACATAATTGTATATACTGTTATAAGTCTAATCTAAATGCTGTAGTTGAATATGATGATAAAAGTTCTGGTATCATGGTCTGGGGAGGTGTGTATGAAGATCCAAGGTGTCATTGAAGGCCTTTTCTTCTTTGAAGTTGGCATCAATGGTGAGAATTACGTGGAGCTGAGTAGGGACACTGTTTAGCCATTACTTCACAGAGAGACCGCGTTAATTAGTTTTGGTAGCAGCGGAATCAAGTTCCTCCTCGTTTTGCCATAACAATGCAGATGAGACATTTCTGTCCATTTAGATGACTGGGTCCACTCGCTTCATCCCACCCTATCACTTTTTCCCTGTGGTATTTAAAGTTAAAATTTGTTACCGCAACACCAACATCCTACAAGACCTGAAAGATGTGGTTAACTTACTGCTATTCTTCATGAACGGTGTGCAAAATCTTGGTGAAATGTGTGTTTTTGATGACAGGCCTGTGTTGATACTGACAACTTGCGATAGATCACACAATGAAAAACTCATATTAGAGAGTGTTTATATTACAAAATAAGTAATCTGCTTTCTTTTCGTGCCAAATCTGCTGGAAGTTACGGTACATCAAAGCATGGTCTACTGTTTATGCCCTCCCCCTGTATGTAGTGGATAATTATTGATTTGCAATCATTTTAAGCCAGAAATCAAGCTGAAGTTAAAATTTATTTTAAGAGCATTTTTTAATATGTTTAATAAAATAACTTAAACACATTTTTTCCCCCCATATTGCAGGATATCCCCATTGTAATTGTTTTCAAAGCTATGGGCTTTGAATGTGATCAAGAGATAGTTCAGATGATTGGTACTGATGAGAGTACTTTGACAAAACTTTTTCCCTGCATAGATGATTGTCGTCGAGCTGAAGTATATACTCAAACTCAAGTAAGATTTGCATGATTATATATATTAAGGTATATGCATTTGTGTCTTGTAATGCTTTGAATAAATGTTCATTTTTAAATAATTGTTGGACAGGTCATATTAAACCTGGTTTTGAAGCAAAAATGTAAAATCTAGAAGATTTATTTATACTTCAAATTGTACAAGAAAAGCATGTATATAACAATAAGTATTCTTATGTATTTAAATATACCAATATTCTGTTCTGCATAGTTTGCATTTGGGGATTCCCTTTTGTGTTTTTAAAGTAGTTATTTTTAAACTGATGAAATATACTTGATATTTAAAAAATTTCGTGAGTAATAATAGTTAATGTAAACTGTGAATTATAATTTTATTTAATCCTGTTAAGCTTTCCGAGGACCTTATTTACATTTTGTTATAAGCGTACTTTTTTCTTTTTTAATATAGGCCTTACGATACATGGGAAGTAAACTGAGGCAGAGAAAATTTTGGAACTCTGCATCTGCTGCACAAAAGAAAACTCCTATTGATGAAGCCAGGGATCTCTTAGCTACAACAGTTTTAGCTCATGTTCCAGTATGTACAAGTAATTTACATTCTATGATAATTTGTAATTATGAAATTAATATGCTAATAGATTCTAGATATTTTTTTTTTCTGTTACTTATTTTGTTATAATGAAATTTGTATCTTACATTTAAAGGGTGTTTTAACAAAGTGCAAAGTATTATTTCATTCTGTTAAAGAAATATGTATATTGTTTAGAAACATATTTTGTATTCATTAATTTAAAAAAGAGCTTTACAGCTGATTCACATAAGTTTGGAATAAATAAAATGCAACCAAACATTTTCAGTTGAATGCAGTATTCATTTCATTCATTCAAGTAACATTCGCATTGATCCTGTGTTCAAAATATGGAATATAAAAATGGAAATTCAAAGCAAATGAAACGGATTTTTCAAATTATTATTTGTAAAAATTTGTTTTTAATTCATGCCATATAAAATGATGACAACTTGAAACTAAACTACTTAATCTCTTTATCCAATTTTGTAAAATTTTTCAACAAAAGAAAAAACAAAAGTGAATTCATAACTTAACATTTTGTGGTTAATTGTAAAATGTTTCCCTGTTCCTCTACATTTGCTTTTGAATTTGAAAGTTTCAAAGTCTGAAATATTGCGATTATATTTTGAAAGACTAAAATAGTGTTTCATTTTATTTTCTACGAATATGTATTTGGAAATAAAATGATGTTGGAAGTAAGATTTTGTTAGAAGTATATAAGATGTAACTATGGGTGGTAAATTAGGATTAGTACTCAAATTAAGTATTCAAGATTATGAACAGGTTTTTTAAAGAGTAACTAGTAACATGGGAGGATACTTTGGATAAAATAAGCTGTCAGAAGCAGTCAGCATGAGCAGTCAGCATGAGGCGAGGGAGCATGTAATTTTATTCCACAGTGAATTTCATATCTCCTTTTATTCTAAATTTCCATTTTTATTACATTATTTTTCACATTAAAAAAAAAAAAACTTTAAGAAAAAATATATATCCTGCTCCAAAATCTTTAACTTTATATTGGCATCCATTATTCAGTGTTTTGGGTATATGTAGAGAAAGACTTACATTAAAATAGTAGATAAGTCTTATATTACCAAATATATCCTTAGTCAGAAAAGTTCCAGGACAATTTTTTTTTATTT